TTGTCTTCTATTGACTATTGACAAAATTATCACTATTTTTTAATGATACTCGAGAAAATAAAAACCTAAAAATATACAAAACAATAAAACCAGACTAGAAACCTGATTGAAACCCTCAGATTGAAATTAGTATTGTCCGGTGGAGAATGGGAGCGGAAACGATCGTAGAAGAAGCAGAGAAAGTCGAGGACTTGCTCGAGGTCTGTCTCCGTCCCCTTAATCCCTCCTTCTTCTCCAATCGATTCTTTTTCGGGATTTACTTGTATCAATTTTAGATTGCTCTGAGTGATTCGTTGATTGCGTTTGATGATCTATTTTGTGTTTATAGAATAATGATTGGGTTTATAAATGACAGGCTGCTAGATTCGATGACATTGATGATCTCAAAAGCTTGGCTTCTCATGGTGTCTCTCTTAACTCTCGTGATTCACAAGGCCGAACAGGTTTTTTTTTACATTCTCTGTCTTTTTCAAAAGTTGGGTTTTTTTCTTTTTTCGGTTTAATAGCTTCAGATTCTTGGAATGAGTAGGCCACTAAGTTACTTGTATAGATACAATGTTAAATTTGGAACAAATGAGGCAAAAATGGTTAATTTTTTGGGTTATGTGTTGGTGTTCTTGCTGCGTTCTGTACATATTAGGATACTCAATTCAGAAAGTTTGAAATATATGGTTTAATTCTTGGATCATATGTTTCGTTGTCTTCGTAGCGCTTCATATGGCTGCAGCGAATGGGCATATGACTATAGTGGAGTACCTTGTCAGTGAAGGAGTGGTAAGAAAACAAGAACAGTCTCGTGCTAATTTCTATCGATTAAACATGAATAACAAGAGAGATTGAGGTTTTGTTTGTTTTTCGGTGAGTAGGATATAAATGCTCTTAACGATGAGAACAATGCTCCTCTACATTGGGCATGCTTGAATGGCCATATTGAGGTAATCATCGCTCATCTATGTCCGTGCTTGAAAAATGTTTGTTTCTGATTTAAGTAACTGGAAAGCTACTTACAGGTGGTGAAGAGATTGATCTTGGCAGGAGCCAGTTTAAGTCTTATGAATCGGTTTGTCTCTTGAATTTTTATCTTTTGCTCAATCTATAGGATGAACTAACCTGAACCATTAAAAAGCTTGAAAATTTGTAGGTACGAGCGGTCTCCAATGGATGAAGCTATTGGTGCAGGGAAGTTGGAGATTATAGATGCTATCAACACGACTGTTGCACAAATGGAACTTGAAAATACCAGTGTGACCTGACTTTTCAGACATCTTCATCGTTATCAGCATCATCTTAAATGTTCTCTCTCTGTGATTTACAGGTGAGCTTTTGTATTGTGGAACTGTTGCTTTGTTATCTAGACTAGTAGTTGTTAGTCTTGGAATCATATGTATTCGAATTAGATGAAGCATCTTTGGTTGCAAAACCCACAGCCACAAACTTGTTCAAATTTTTGTTGGGCTGGTTCAACTTAGCTTTAGGTTTTATTTGACTGGTAACTGGTTTCAGTTCCCCAGTCTTAAATCTGATAAACTCTGACAAGGAAAAAAGCAAAACATGTACCGGATCAAATTTGATTGAACTGTAAAGTTATCGATAGATTTTGATAGAAAATTAAACTTGCACAAGGCATTGTCATGTAAGTAAAATGCAATTCTTATGTGTGTAGATTTACCGTAAACCGACTGTAGATATTAGTATAGCCAGTATACTTCATTTTGTTTTGGTTTAAGACTTCGGTTTGCCTTAATAAGATCGGTATATAAGCATTTTAACTAATCTGGCAGTAAGAACATCTCAAGCTGCAAACGAGAGTTTTGATCAATTTTTAGCAGATTCGATACAGAACATTGTTTCCTTCTTTAGCCTCAAAGCCAACCAATCTAGAAATTTAATTTCAAATATTTCCTTCTAATCAATTGTTTGCTCAATTTTTCTCTACATTCAAAACCTTTGGGTTCTATCCCAAGTATTTTTACCGGAAGTGATAGACCTCGCGATATTTTGTTCAAACTAGCAAAGTTGCCATTGATACTTGTAACATAGGTACTAGTACCATTCATCATGTAATCCCGTAACAAAACTTTTTTCACTCGTTTCAAATTCATAACAGTCAGTAATATCTCCCATCCCATGTAATCTTTAAAACTTATCTAAACTAGTTTCACTGAGTTATATCTCGCGCGTTGCGCGAGATTTTACTTTCGAATTTTTAGTAAGATGGATATTTGAATATAATATAACCATTTCAATTTTAAATTAAACTCCAAAAAATCAATATGAAATATGAACACTTGGTTGACAAAAAAATAATATGAACACTTACATAAATACAAACTTGCTTGCAAGTGATACAGAACACATATATTTTTTATGGTAAATTTGTTTTTTTCGAAAAATCAATGAATAATTATGTGCCACGTGGTTATAGAAATTAGTTAAAAACCTAATAGAAAGAGAAACTGGCATTGACAACCATCCCACGATCTTTATACCAAAAACAGTTCTTCCCTATTGTGGTCCTATAAAAAATATCTCTAGAGATTTTTATGTTGATCATTGACCCAATCTTATAGTGAATGAGATCAAAAGAATATTTTACTTTAATCTTGTGCATATATCTTTCTCACTTTTAGTGAAAAATTTTTTAAACCATTTTTCAATCATTTTTTCGTCATATTCCAAAATGCACTCGTTCATCTCTTGGCATCTAATTTATTTTCACCTTCTCTTTGGTGACATAAATGTATAACATATTGAACAACAGATTAATTTTCAATTCTTAACGAAACTATTTCTACTAATTAAAAAATAAACGAAACTATTTCTTTTATTTTATTTTCATATACTATTTTTTGCCATTACTTAAGCGTAAGAAAATCTTAAGAGATATCTACTTGTCTTTCCGAGGTTTTTCTAATTGTGTTGTAGTGCATATCAAAATCTCTTTCTAATATCTCGTCTTTAAACTCATTTTTATTCATCACACACATATTTCGTCTTTTGTCATCAAGCCATGCACTAAATTCTCTCTTCTCATATAATGTAATCATCTGTTGTAAAATATTTATAATATATTATGTTTGTTAATATTAATCTAACATATTTTTTATTTTGATTATCTTAAAATGTGTAGTTTAAAATCTCATTAAATTATAGTTAGTTTTTAAGTGTGTCTAAAAGGAGGAAAATGTCTTCTTTAAAAATTCTACAAATTTTTCATTATTCAATTAAATTGTATTCTTTTGATTGGAAATTTTTGGATAATTTGTTTTACTATTTTTCTATTTCACAAATAGTTACAAAATGAATTTCCTCAAATCGAATATATATTCACGTTTTATTTAAAATATTTTATCTTTATAGATTTTAAGTGTTTGTGAGTTATTGTTATCATTTATTGAGAGATAATAATACAAAAGTGTGTGAGTTCATTAAGTTATTAATTTAGTTTTTTTTTTTTTTTATGATGTGGACACCTTAGATGGAAAGAGAACTCTCTAATTATATATATGATTTCTTCTTTTTTTTTCTTGAAAAGCTAAGTAAAGCTTCTAAAACTATAGTCTCTGAAGCATTTTATTGATGAATTTTTTTCTTAAACTAAATTGACGTTTACAATTGTGAGATCATTAGCGATAGCTTCGCTTGCATATGCTATGAACCGGACATGGAACGACATATTTAGACAACTTGTGTAAACGACAACCAAAGCAACTCGCCTCGCCTTTTAGACAGCGCGAAGAGTCGGCCCCAACTCTGGACTTGGTACCCTTACGTACTCGCTCCCTCACAAAAATGGATTGACAGTTTTTGCGAAAAATCTATCTTTATCCTGTTTGAAAAACCAAAAATATACACTATTTTTCCAAAACGTTTCCAGGATATCAAATACACTACATAAACCATTTTCATGTCGATGCAAAACAAAAATCCTACTATTATGTGGGTGATTGGTTCGGCTGTAACTGTAAATTAATTGCTGTACAATTTTGTCTGCGGACGTTTTTGCTGTAGCTTTAAGATTTTAGCTGTAACTTTTTAAAGTTAAAATATGATTGGTAAG